TTATTGAAGCTACCTTTGGAAATAATATATCTATAGATAATATTAAAAATATATCTAAACATGAAATTCTTTGTCCAAAAAAATGAACATGTTCAAAAATTAAATGAAGAAATTTTGGATATACTTGATGGAGATTTTCACACATATTTGAGTGATGATTTTGTTGATTCAACAGATGATGCTGAAAAGGAAAATTTTGCCATCGAATTTCTTAATAGTATTACTCCTTCGGGAATGGTATGTCATAAATTAAAATTGAAAGTGGTGCAATGATCATGCTATTGAGAAATCTTAATAGTAAATGGGGCCTTTGTAATGGTACCAGATTTATTATCAAAGATTACGACCTGACATTATGGAAGCTGAAGTATTAACAGGATCTGCAGAGGGAGAGGCTGTTCTGATTCCAATTGCTTTGTCATTATCGAAGCTGAAGTATTAACAGGATCTGCAGAGGGAGAGGTTGTTCTGATTCCAAGAATTAATTTGTCCCCATCTGACACTGGCCTCCCATTTAAATTGATTCAACGACGGTTTCCTGTAATGCCAGCATTTGTGATGACTATTAATAAATCACAAGGACAAACTCTAGACAGAGTAGGAATATTCCTACCTGAACCCGTTTGCGCACATGGTCAGTTATCTGTTTCTTTCTCTCGAGTTTGAAGAGCATGTGATGTTACAGTTAAAGTTCTAAATACTTCATCACAAGGGAAATTAGTCAAGCACTCTGAAAGTGTTTTCATTCAATGTGGTGTACAGGGAGATATTAGAATAAGTTTAATCACTTTATCATTCATTGTTTGCATCACTGTTGTTTTTATATCATGTTTTTGTCGTTTTTATATCATGCCTCTGTTGTTATTTTGTTACTGTTTATTAATAAGTGTATAATTTTCATATACATTTTACTAATTTCCTTTCATCTCTCACACTTCTATTATAGAGAAAGGGCAAATAGCAATATTAAAATATCTCCGCTAATTAATTACCTTTTAGTGTGCATGAATTTCATGCACTGGGTTACTAGTGTATATATATAAAGAGCCAGGGTCTGTAACGTCCAGAATGACCGAATGGATGACCGAATACTGGAAGTCAGTCCTGCAGTCAGTGCTGGGTCGCCACGACCCATCAAAACCAAATCTGGGTGAACTGTGAGGCGCCAGTGGGTGCCTAGGAGGCAGAGCTTTTGACGATGACTGGCAGAAACGGACCAATCAGAACCTAATCTGGGTGAACTGTGAAGGCAGAACCTAAGGTGGGGGCTGAGGAGGGGTTTTAAGGGCAACAGCTGTTTGTTGTAAGGTGTAAGAAAGCGGTTCAATTTTTTAACGACCAGTTTGGCAGTATAGTGCAAATAGCTGGCTATCAGTCCAGATATAGGGATTATGTATTTTTTTCTGCCAAGAGCATCTCCTCCTGCTGAAAAAGGCTACCCGCCCCCTTTAAGCAATCCTATCCTATATAATCTATCTACACTAATAAAAGGGTAATATGCTAATTAGACCGAGTCGACTGGCCATCTTTCGGATGTCCAACTTCCTTCCAGATAAAGCCATGGTGGTGGGGGCCGAGGCAGAGGCAGTTAGGGGTGATCAGGCTGGCAGGGGAGGGTAGTTGGGGGTGAGATCAGGCCGGCAGGGGAGGGCAGTTGGGGGCAACCAGGCCGGCAGGGGAGGGCAGTTGGGGGCGAGAGCAGGCTTGCAGGGGAGGGCACTTGGGGCGAGATCAGGCCTGCTGGGGAGGGCAGTTAGGGGCGATCAGGCTGGCAGGGGTGAGCAGTTAGGGGTGAGATAAGGCCAGCAGGGGAGGGCAGTTAGACGCAATCAGGCAGGCAGGCAGGGGAGTGGTTAGGAGCCAGTGGTCCCAGATTGCAAGAGGGATGTCCAACTGCCGAATTTCGTGCACCGGGCCACTAGTAACTATATATGGTGCCTGGTGGTTACTGGAAGTATCAGGGGGAACACTTTGTAAAGTATATGTTTATCTAACCACTATGCTGGACATCTGAAACTAATAAAATAATATTGAATATAAACTGTAATTGAAAATAAAATGTTAAAAAAGGGATTTGTTCTTTATATAGTAGAATTACATTAAAGAGTTTTAAACATAAATTTTGTGTTTTATGGAGAGAATTCTGTCTGCTGTGTGAAGAGTAGATCGGGGTTAGAATAAAGTGGAGGCAGAGTGAGCTATGGCAATAGGTCAGGTGAGTGAGAATGAAGGCCTGAATTAATTAGTGATATAATTGGAGAAGAGACAATAGACATGAACATAACTTGAGTAAAAACCATAGAATTTGGTGCTTGCCTATACTTTAAGGAAGTAGGTGAGCATGACCTACAGATACTGATTTTGTTAACCTATGGCCTGTGATTCTATCAGCTAAGATAGGGAAGACTGGAACAAGAGCAGATTTTGGAGGGGTGGGAGGAAAGAAGAGGGAATAAGAGGGTAGAAAGAACCAAGATCAGTTCCTTTTGGTTCGTTTGGTTTTTTTTTTGGATCTGACCCGAGGATATGTTTTAATATTGATTTGAGAGAGAGAGAGGATGGGGGAGAGAGAAAGAGAGAGGGAGAAACAGAAACATCAGTTGCCTCCCAAAGGCTCCCTGACCGGGGATTCAACCTGCAGCCTAGGTATGTGCCCTGACTGGGAATTGAACCCACAACCTTTTGGTGCACAGGACGACGCCCCAACCAACTAATCCACCTGACCTGGCCAGGGAAAAATCAGTTTTAGATTTAATTCTAAGCCCCTTCACAAATCCTTTTAGGTTACCTTTGGAGGCCACCTATAATGTTGTCCTTCAAGATCTCATTTGGCCAAACCGGTTTGGCTCAGTGGATAGAGCATCAGCCTGCGGACTGAGGGGTCCCAGGTTCGATTCCGGTCAAGGGCATGTACCTTGGTTGCGGGCACATCCCCAGTAGGAGATGTGCAGGAGGCAGCTGATCGATGTTTCTCTCTCATCGATGTTTCTAACTCTCTATCTCTCTCCCTTCCTCTCTGTAAAAAATCAATAAAATATATTAAAAAAAAAAAAAAGATCTCATTTGGTGCCAGTAGGGACAGAATAGTGAACTAGCAGTATGTTTTAGGTATATTCAAATTCTGTAAGTTGAGGTATTTGTACAACTGAGGTTTTCTAAATAGAAGGAAAGTTTGGAAATATATTTAATTGTGTTCTAGTATGGGTATGTATTTTCCAAGTTCTTTAAATTTTTATTTGTATTTCATATATATTAGGGTTTTTAATTTTTTAGTTTTTTTTAACATAAATTGATGGGACCTGCATAAAAGTGTTGCAATAGCAGTTTTCTAATAACCATCAATATATGGTACACTTCATAAATAGTTCCTGTTTTTTAGTCAGTGAGTGTTAGTGGATTGATTTTCTCCTTTGTAATGGAAGGAGTACCACCAGGTAGACTTAAAAAATGTAACAGAAAAGAAATCCAGGTTAGAGGTTAGTAAGATCTTAAATCTAAGATTCTAAAATATTGAAATATGTTATTAGAAAAGTTAGTGATACACATAAATAAAAACAATTTTTTGTAATAATCATTTTTCTTTTTTTCTGGGATGTTTAAATATAATGTTGCTCAGAGGCTCAAGTGTTAAATCTTTAGTGTGGTGCTTGCCAGTTTTTTTTATGCTCAAAGTAGATAGATAACAAAAACTCCTAACCTGTTTTAGCTGGAATATTAGTAAGGTAGAAGTACTCCTGAGTCATGGTTTGCTATCCTTTTGACAATGGTGGTTCAATCTTTGTGAACTTCTATATCAGCAGTTTTACTTTTAATATCTGCTTAAGAAAAATTGCAAAACCCAAAAACTATTTCTAATTCAACTGTGTTGAATGAACTGTTCTTCTTTTTAAAAAAATATATTTTTATTTATTTCAGAGAAGAAGGGAGATGGAGAGAGAGATAGAAACATCAATGATGAAAGATAATCGTTGGTTGGCTGCCTCCTGCACGCCCCACACTGGGGATCGAGCCCACAACCCAGGCATGTGCCCTGACCGGGAATCGAACCCTGACCTCCTGGTTCATAGGTCGATGCTCAACCACTGAGCCACCCTGGCCGGGCTGTTCATTTGTTTTAAATGTATTTAATCGCAACAGTACTTATCTGTGTTAACTTTGGAAAGTAGTTAAACTAATCACAAGTAATGTATTTTCAAACCACTTGCAAAAATCGTAGTCTACCAGGGGACTAGGACCATCAGCTGGGAACCACTGGATAAAGTCTTAAAGCTTGCTTACTTCTGGGTGTTAAAATTTGAGCTGGAATATGGACTAAAGATAGTACCCTTAATAATATCATTTTCCATCTGCATCTATCAGTGTAATGAGAGTTCTTTTTTGGTGTGTGTGTGTGTGTGTGTGTGTAAATGTGTAATGTTTATTTTAATGCCTGCAGGACAGGCATTTTTTTCCCCTTTAAAAAGTTGTTTTTACATTTGAAAAAAATGTAAACAATTCTCTGACTCATCTCCTCCAATTACAAAAGGTGAGGCATACCTACTGGATTTCTCTGGAAGTTTTAGAATTTTGGATGTATGAAATTATGCTGGTTTGTGTTTCATTTTTGTCTTTTAAAGTGGTATTTAATATTTTTTTTTCTCTCAAATACACAGAAAAGTGTATGCTCACTAGCTAAAGATAACCAATGTTAATATGTTGATATATTTCTCCCCTTAAAACTAATTGAGATCACACTGTTTGGCATCCTTTCTTCTTTTTAAAATCACTCAACTGAAGTTAGTGTAATTTTTATGTCCTTTAAAAGTCTTTGTAAAATTTTTAAATGGAAAAAAGTTTATGTATTGTGTTATATATCAGTATTTTTCTAATATTGGCTTATCATCATGACTGATAAATTAGGGTAATGAAGAATTGAACTACTTCTGATATAACTATTGGTCAAATATATGTCTGATATAATATACATGGATAAGCAAAAGTAGGTTTACAGTTGTAATACAGATAATACAGTATTAAATAATGGTACAAGAATATACCTTGTGTACTGCATACTCACAACTGTAAACCTACTTTTGCCCACCCCTGTATTGATCCAGGATTCGTCATTTATTTTTGGAGTTAGTCACTATTCAAGTGAATTTCTGCTTCTTTTGTTGGCTCTATTCAATGTTTTTTTTCTCTCTAACATCAATTTGGTTCTTAATGAATTATAGTTTCAAGTTTTATTTATTTTTCTAAACTATTCATTAATTCAGATTTTAATGCTGCTGTTTAGGACAAGGATGGAGATAGAGCCGTTCACCATGCAGCTTTTGGAGATGAAGGTGCTGTTATAGAAGTATTACATCGAGGCAGTGCAGACTTGAATGCTCGCAACAAACGCCGACAGACACCACTTCATATTGCTGTCAATAAAGGTCATCTTCAAGTTGTAAAGACTTTATTGGACTTTGGTTGTCATCCAAGTCTGCAGGTAAAACCTTTAACAAAATATATTCTGTAGGTATTGCTAGGATCCTATTAAAGGGAAGTACTAGCTTCAATGGTAAGCATTTCTGTGTTACAATTCTTTTTTATATGATTAGTCATAGTAAGTGATACCAAAGGTATAGAATGTAATAAAATTGGCAGCTCTTTCTTCTTAGAAAAGCCTTTTTAAGGAAGTGTCAAGTAGATCTGTCTTATATTGAGGGGTGGGGGATAGGGATTTCATGCAAAAGTATCTGTTTTTGAATTGAATTGATTTAATTTTATTGATCATGACAGTGGGCTTCAGCAACTTAAAGAAGTGTAATAGGCTGAATTTCCTAATAGTTACTTCATAGCTATCTAAATTATTTTAGTTCTAGCCTTATGTAATTTAAGAGTCTTGGTGTACCAGTGATGGCGAGCCTATGACACGCGTGTCAGAGGTGACACGCGAACTCATTTTTTTGGTTGATTTTTCTTTGTTAAATGGCATTTAAATATATAAAATAAATATCAAAAATATAAGTCTTTGTTTTACTATGGTTGCAAATATCAAAAAATTTCTATATGTGACACGGGACCAGAGTTAAGTTAGGGTTTTTCAAAATGCTGACACGCCAAGCTCAAAAGGTTTGCCATCATTGGATTAGTCCAGTCTTAGAAGATTTTCTGTTTTGGGAACTACATAGGGTTTTAAAGTTTATTTATTATAGTAGGATCTACTTTTTTTAAGCAAGGGTCACCTACGAAATGATTATTCCCTTTCAAAATTTCAGCAACTAGATGAATTAATTTGGATTGGTCTTAGAGAAGCAATGTAGAACAGGAGTAATGGGACTGAGGGTTTGACGAGAATCGAAAGTATCAGAGAGTCTGTTCAGCTAAATGATTATTACAGACTAGTTTTTCCGAGATACAGAGTGGTAGGATTAGAAGATGGGGTAGGCGATGTAAGGTATTAATCTGTTGAAGGAGTGTGGAATTTATACCTGCTGACTTTTTTTTTTGTCTGATATGGGAGGCAAAGTTATTAGGTGAGAGTGAGTGGGGAGTGGTCAGTATTGAAAGGGTAATTGAAATAGCTACTGTGGAGAGCAAGAGACAGGACAGACAGATCAGGGCCTGTGGAAGCATATTCCTGTGAGGTTAAGAGCCCATCTCAAGTTGGAGACCATGAATTTTTAGTGCCATAGGGGGATAAAAGGTGGATTGTTGGACTGAATTTGTGTTGGGAATTTCTTATGTGGGTGGATGAATATATGCCTAGGATTGGCACACTTTTTCTGTGAAAGGCCAGGTAAGCCCTGGCTATTGTGGCTCAGCTCAGTTGGTTGGGTGTTGTCCCATGCACCAAGAGGTTGCTGATTTGATTCGTAGTCAGGGCACATGCTCCAGTTGTGGGCTCGATCCCCAGTAGGTAGGCTTGCGGGAAGCAGCTGATTGATGTTACTCTCTCATATTGATGTTTCTCTCTCTCTCCCTCTCCCTTCCTTTCTCTCTAAAAATTAATAAAAAAATATATTTAAAAAAAGGCCAGGTAATATTTTTGGCTTTCATATTTTCTATTACAATTATTCAGTGCTGCCATTGTAGCACCAAAGTAGCCATAGATAATACATAAATGCATGTGTGTGGCTATGTAAATAAAATTACAAAAATGGGGGCAGCCTAGATTTGGCAACTGTGGTAACTATATATGGCTTTACTGAAAATAGTATTTATGAAACTATGAAATGAATGAAGGCTAAATTACCCATTTACACAGATGACTGATAATGAATAACAACTTATTGCCACATTGGTTGATTACTGGAGGAAGTAATCAACTTGAAAAAAAAACATAGACTGAGACTGCCAAATTTTCTTTTACATTTGTTTTCACTTTGAGTTAACTACTCTTTCCTGCCCTTTGAAAACAATTAGAGTAATGATTCTCAGCAGTGACTACACAATATATTCACCTGGGGAACTCGGGAAAACTACTAATGCCTGAGTCCCAGTCCGAGATTCTAGGTTAGTGGATCTGAAGAACAGCCTGGATTCCAGGATTTTTTTTTTTTTTTTTGGATTACAGGATTTTAAGAGCTTCCCAGCAGATTCTAAAGTACAGCCAGGGTTGAGAACCACTGACTTTTAATTAATTGCTATGGGCCCTGAGATTGGTGTAGGTTTGGGATGGAGTTTCAGGGTACAGCAGTTAATGGTAGGAAAATGGTATAGCAAGCCATTTTAAACGAATGAATTTTTTGACCGCTTTTCCACCTCATTTATTTTTGTTATTTACTTAATTATTTTGAGGGTATTTAATTTCTTGGATTTTTTTTTAAAGCTACAGCATGTTTATTGTATTTGGCATTTAGATTGAGTATAAGTTTATTCACTATAATGCTATTTCTTGCCTGCGTTTATTAAATTTAACACATAGTATGCTTCATTGATGGTTGTTGGATATGGGTTCTGTTTTTGTTTCTTTGTTTAGTAGTTCATTATAAGTATTAATAATTACATGTGAGAATGATTGAAAAAGAACTAATGAAAATCTTTTTAAACTTAAAAAAAAGGATTCTGAAGGTGATACTCCTCTTCACGATGCAATAAGTAAGAAGCGTGATGACATCTTGGCAGTCCTTCTGGAAGCTGGGGCGGATGTCACCATTACAAACAATAATGGATTTAATGCCCTGCACCATGCTGCACTAAGAGGAAATCCCAGGTAAAAATGTTACCTTTCACCAATTTATACGCAGTTTAAAAATATCTTTCTGTTGCTGGTTCTCTTTTTCTGATACTGATAAGAAAATAATTTTTGCTTATTTTAGTATTTTAAATCATTTTAAGATCTGTGGAAATTGTCTTCACTAAATAGATTAATTTTATAATGATTTTTTGGGTTATTAAACTAATAAAGTATGAAATGTCTAAATATATATTCAATATGGATATAGAGGATCAGGAATACTCATATTGTAAAGTTTTAATTAGAATGCAGTGCATTTTGAGATTTATGTTTCTTTAAGACCATTCTCAGGGTGTCCTCTAAACCCCATGCTAGTCCATTTGCATAGTAATTGTCTTTTTAAACTTGTGGCTAAATAACTATTAAGTTTACCTAATTGCTTAGTAATAATATAATTCTTTATATAAATTTCTAATATAGATGTTCTGTAACCATAGTTATAATTATAGGTGGTCTACTGGAAAAAAAATTGTTTGCTGGTTAAAGTTTGAGAAAGATTTTTAGAAAGTCACAGAGTTCATAAAATGTGGACAAAGTCCCACAGAAAAACAAAGTGTTTACCTTTGCTTTCACGTAGAATATTTTTCAGAGCGAGAGAGGAAAGAAGGGGGAGAGCGCAGCTACTTGTATACCCTTGACTGAAGATTGGTCCTCTCCTCTGGGGGGAAGGTCATCCTCTTCTACCGAGCGCGCAGCTTCGGGAGGGACGCACATGGATCGGTGAGGGAGGAGGGGGACACCCGCCTAGCCAGCCAGATCAGCCGAATCAACCCTGGCGATCAATGGGGTGACAGATGTTGCAGCCAGATCGCCCTCACATCCTGAATTCTTATTGTTTAGTTCCATACTGCTTTTTTTTTATCCTCACTCAAGAATATTTTTTCCATTGATTTTCAGACAGAGTGGAAGGAGGAAAGGGGAGAGAGAGAAAGAGAAACATGGATAGAAGAGAGACACGGATGTAAGATCAGTTGCCTCCTACACACGCCCTGACCTGGTCCAGGGATCGAACCCGCCACCCTTTGCATCTGATGTTCCAACCCCTGACCCAATACTACATTTTTATATCATGTTTTCTTCTAATTTTTTGCTGTTTTTTATTATTTTAGCTTTTTTAGGGTCACCTCTAGTGGGTGAGCACAGGCCTTTACTAAGTGGTTTACATTCATGATCTCATTTAATTTTTGGACAGCCTTTTGAGGCAGGTTTTAATGTCCTCATTTTGTATAGGAAGAAAATGAGTCATATAAAGAGATGAATTTGCTTATTCAAAGTCAGTGACTAGGGGAGCAGCTGGAACTTGAGCAAGGTCCATCTGACTTTGGACTCATAACTCTTAACCACTTGATATTACTTTTCTCTATTATGGGCTATATGAGAGGTAAGACTGAAATATATGGACAGTGAATCATTTAACTAAGAATGCCTTAATATGTCAGTGTCCTTGATGCCTCTTTTGATTAGGGTTAACTTTGACTACCCTGTCACTAATGCTGAACTTCCAATTAATTCTAAAGTTTCCTTTATTCTACAGGTACCATATTTCCAATCCATTCCATTTCATTCTTTCTATTTCCATTGTTGCTGACTTAATTAAATATTGACCACCTTTACCTAGACTCGTGGTCGGCAAACTGCGGCTCGCGAGCCACATGCGGCTCTTTGGTCCCTTGAGTGTGGTTCTTCCTAAGCCTTAGGAGTACCCTAATTAAGTTAATAACAATGTACCTACCTATATAGTTTAAGTTTAAAAAATTTGGCTCTCAAAAGAAATTTCAGTCTTTGTACTGTTGATATTTGGCTCTGTTGACTAATGAGTTTGCCGACCACTGACCTAGACTATTACAGTATCTTTCTAATTTTTCTCCCTGATTTTAGTTTTATTTGACAACTTTATAACTACCAAATTATCATTCTAAGAACATAGACCAAATGGCTCCCCTCTCCTGTTCTCAAGTCTTTAGTTGCTTTCTATTGTACATAGAATAAAATCTTTACACCTTGACTTGGCATTCAAACCCATTTACAGTGTGTCCTGAGTCTTTCTGACTTTATCTCTCACTAAATAAAAGCCATCTGCCTACCTTGCTCTTCAGCTACATTGTTCTACTTTCCTTTCTTAAGATAGTTGGTCTGCTTTCTTCTTTCATTTACTTAAGGATTTTTTTCTTTATCTTAACCATCTTTTTTCTAGAACTCTTAGATCTCATCATTGAAACTATTTTCTGTTTGCCCTTTACTTCCTTGTTCTGTGTTCTTATTTTACTGCACCTATAATCTGCTTTGCGCTGTCCCTTATATATGCATGTTTATGTTCCTTTCTACTTAAATTGTGGGCATTCATGTTCGTTTGTATGTTTCTTACAATGCCTTGGCTAGAGTATATGTGATCAATTACAAAATAAATTCCGTAGAGAAACTATTAGGAGTTTAAACAGAGTGATTACTACAGATTAGAATAGGCAAAAAGAGATTTTATTGAGGAAATTTAGGTTAAATACTAAATCATAAAGTTTAAGGTAAACTGAAAATTGAAGAGTTTAGGAAATGAGTAACTTTTAAATATTTTGATTTGTTTTACTTTATTAGAAGTAGCCATAGTATGTTTAATAATGCTAAGCCTATATGTATGGAGGAGGAAATATACTACTTTCGTTTCTTCAATTCTTAAGAATTCCCCTAAACATTTGCAACAGTGACACCTGTATCCAGATAATTGGTGTCAGGTGACATTTTAAAAAAAGGAAAAAACACTTTCAGTTTACAATAAAGTAGTGCTTCAATTAAAGTTACATCACTTCTTTTTTTTAAAAAAATTTTCATTTATTGATATTTTTAGAGAGAGAGGTAGAGAGAAAGAGGTAAAGAGAGAGAAAGGAACATCGATTTGTTGTTCTACTTATTTATGCATTCATTGGTTGTTTCTTGTATGTGCCCTGAGCAGAGATCAAACCCACAACCTTGGTGTATCAGGACGACGCTCTAACCAGCTTAGCTACCCAGCCAAGGCACTACATGACTTCTTTATTCCTATTTCCTTAAGGCATTTTATGAAGGTGTGACTGTAGATTGCCAGATAAAGAGTGTAATTTTAATTGGACATGGAAGATGTCAGAAAAATGACATAACTTATATATCATTTATAATTGCAAATTTGTAACTTCATATCAAATTTCTTATTCTTAAAATTCACTTTTCTTTCCTTATACTGGCCATTGATGTCATAATATAGAAGGAACTGTTTTTGGTGTACTCAGAATTTTTTTAAGAAGTCTTTGGCCCTAACACTTATTTGAGAAAACGAGTTAGTACATTATTTCCAGAACCTGACGAGTTAGCATTTTTGAATAAAATATTAGATTAGCAAATGTGCTAACATTTTCCTCTTTCTTATAAGCATTTTATAATTTATATAACATAATGAATGTATTACCTTGAATTGTAACATTTTAATTTTGTTATTTGTGATTTTTGTTTTATACTGCAGTTATACTTCTTTAGTATACTTGACTTACCTGTTAGACATAATGTCTAGTCAATTTTAAATACAATTGATGGGCTCTAGCTGGTTTGGCTCAGTGGATAGAACGTCAGCCTGCAAACTGAAGGGCCCTGGGTTTGATTCCGGTCAAGGGCACATGTCTGGGTTGCGGGCTCGATCCCCAGCAGGAGGCGTGCAGGAGGCAACCAATTAATGATTCTCTCATCATTGATGTTTCTACCTCTCTTTCTCTCTCCCTTTCTCTCAAAAATCAATAAAGATAGACAAATAAATAAATAAATAAATACAATTGATGGCATGTTAGTATAATTCTTAGCTGTTTTGTTAGAATGTATATATATTTCTGCAGTAAATTATTTACATCATTGTGAGTATAATTTAGTACCAGCACAATGTTGTCTTATAATTCTTTCAATATATTATGGTAAGCAATGTGGAAAAGTTTTCGAAATTTGTATGTACATGTATACACATGGAATTTAGCATTCTATTTCCTAGTTTTGCTTTTAGTTAATAATAATTTTTTCAGCAATAAGTCAGTAACAGTCAGTAACATAGTAGAATTAGTAATTATTGGATGTGCTTTTCTAAAAGAAAATGACTTTTCCTGCTCATCAAAAATATGTCTAAATGTCTGATGTTTTTGAAGAATATACTATGAAATCTATATTTCAAAGGTGCAGATCAATAGAGATTCCAGATTTCAGAGCTGATTTTGGTGTTTACTCATAATATGACAGTAACTGAAATAAAGACATTAAGAGAAAAAGAGTTATAAAACATTTCAGAATTATGTAAGAGAATATGTTTTTGCTGTGAGACACTGAGTACTTTGGTCATCCTTTGTAAAGCTTGGAGCTTTTTAGAATGTAGTTGAAGTATGTTTTAATATAGTAGTGTTTTTATTTTAAGAAATCTTAACTAAGGACAGTGCTGTTTATGTATTCTGACATTTGGCATTTTCCCTACAATTTAGCCATGTTGTCTTTTCTTTCTATATACAGGTAAAATTTAAAATTTAAAATTTCAGATTTAAATGAAGAGCAGAAAACATTTCTGTTGTTAAAGATGAAAACTAAATTTCTTTGGATTAGTGGCATTAATCAGCACATTACTTAGGTATTTTCTGTGAGGATGTTGCATTTTTAGGTACCTTGAAGTTTTTAGAGGCCCCTCACAGACATGAAAATAAATTAGCAATATTCCCTGCAGAGCTGTTAAAAAACAATTGCTAAATATTTTGGAGGCAGTGATAACATTATAAACTTACTTTAGTGTTATTTATAAATTTTTCTCTAATATAAATTGGATATGAAAAGTAATAGTAAAATATGAGTGAGCCATATGATGTGATATATTTTCAGTTTATCATAGCACTAAGGTAATGTCACAGGCACTTCTTATTTACTTATCTATTTATTCCCACAAAGACACTAAATCTTACTGAATATGTGAGCAACTCATATTTTCCCTG